AGAATTTAGTACAACCGGTTTAGAGTTGTACCGCATGCAGTTGATAGTTTGAACGTTAAACATGAACTACAATCGAAAAAAATAAAGTAGTTCTGTATCTTGCAGACATTTCCAAACGATATTTCTCGGTTTGCCACTTGAAAATCGTGTTTTGCTTTTTGCATGAATTAAAGCAAAGGTCAAGGAGTAGTGACGTCACTGGACGGCATTAACGGCCGGTCGATTCAGACGTTACTGAGGGAGTAATAACGACTCGAAGTAATCGGATGAAATTCAGGCTATAGCAAACTAAGAAAGACGACAAGAAATGCAAACTTAAAAATATATTTTGCTTTAGTTGATGAACTTCCGCAGAAACGCGAGCAATGATAAGCGATAGCCCCACATTTTATCTAGGAAACTGCTGATCAGGAACGTCGCAACCAAGGAACTTGCACAAAGGTTTCCAGCCTTGCTTCAAGTTGTAAATCCTTTCGGATGACCGCTTGCACTCGCTCGTTGTATTGGTGATATCGCTTTTTGGTGACAACAATGGATTTTGAATTCATAGCGCCAAATGAAGCAAATATCTAGGGAAACAAAAAGGACACTCGACAATCGTGTGCATTTTTGAGAAGACGAGGCAATGTCCTCCATGGCTTGTAAAAAGTTCCATTTGTTTTTCTTAGCTCTGCACCCACATGTCTTCGTTATCCCTTACGTTATCTCCTTTACAGTAAAGATCGACCCATTGTTTGCAATGGAATTTCTGTGTTTCAAATGATCAAAGACTGTGAAGCCTAAGATCCTAAGAGCTTTAACCAAAGATTTGGTCCAGTTTTGATTTCAACTCTAGTTTCAGCTTTCTTTTGTACTCTCTTGTAATTTTTTTATTCCTTTTTTACCATTATTTTTATTACTATTATTATTTTATATATCATCATTATCATTATTGTTATTATTATTATTATGAGCGACATGGAACTCGCCCATTGCCACACTGGAGACACACTTCATAGGCAGTTTTTTTTACTCTATGGTGTTCCATTGCAAGGAAACCATTGAGCAAGACCATAAGGCAACGAAGATGGTCATTATGTTGTATTTCCATTCCACCTATATTTGATTTTCGCTGGTTATAGCTTTGAGTGCAGTACCGCCCACACAATTATACTCTTATGAATATGCATTCGTCGCAGGAGCATTTGACAATAACTTATGCAAAATGAGTATATTATGGGGTCTAAATTTTCTCAGGCAAACACCTTTCTTTAGAACTACTATCACGCTTCTTGCAAAGTTTCTCATCTGTTCTTGGCCTAATAATCTCCTAATAAACAACTTTTTTATATTGAACAGTGGGTCAGTTACCATTTTTTAACGATCTTCGATAAACAATTAATTAACAATTAATGAATGAGGCTGAGTGTCTTTTGAAGAATTTTGGAGATCGAGGGGGATGTTATCCGTCGACGCCGTAGGCCGAGGCGGATAACACCCTCCGATATCTCCATAATTCTTCATATGATACGAAAGCCGAATTCAATAATTGTTTTATTATTCATTCAAAATAGCTAAACATAGCTTACCTTCATCGATCAAATCGATGTTAAGTTCATCTTCGATAGTGCACGTTAAGGGTTGTGCAGCTCCGCTAATATTCTCCAAATAGCATGCTAGATGTTGCCCTTCGAGTTGTCTCCTTGCTGTTCTTGTAATGTTTTTAGTTATTATTTCGCCTAGTTCTTACTCTTGGAACGAGTGAAATGTCCGCCATTTTTGTTTTCACAACCAAAACTACTCAACCTCGTCCCCAGGTCTTCTCGGTTAACGGTGCATTAACCTGCAAGAGGGCTGCACTTTTGACGTCATCGGTTAATTAAACGCAAAATTCTTCCAAATTTGATCATCAGTAGCTGGTTATGGTGAGTTATGCGTGTGCTTTTAGCCAACAGAATCGGGGAAATATTTTGAATGAGTAATAAATGGTGATTAACACTTGAGCCTCGTTCTTCTTGCTAGACCGTAGGGTGCCTGACAAAAACACGCCGTTTACTCAACGCCTATACCACAAATTGATTTTGCAAGTTATTAGGCATTAATCAAGACGTTTCGCAACCTCGTTCCCAGGGTTCTCTCATACGTTGCGTTGGACGTTGCGGCCTGTCGAGGATTCGGATCTGTACCGAGTTTGTCCAATCTGCTGTCCAGAATACAACTACTTAAAATCACCACCAAATATGTTCTCGAAGTCGGCTCTATCAGTGCTCTTTGTTTCTCAGCTCACCCGTCCACGAACAACTGATGGAGCGCGGTTTTCTGTGCTCTAAGCGATTTTCTTTCTTGACGACTATATAACATACTCTCGTTGGGATTGCGGGAAGAGTTAAGTTACATTCGCAAAAGACATTCTTGTCGATTACCAAAACGACTTCAGGCAAAGCCGATCATTCGAGACCCAATTAGCTAACCCCATCGAGTACCTGACCACCAGACCCACCAATATCAAACTGACCAACTAATACTTGCTTTTTTTTTCAAAGCCTTTGACACTGTCGCATACAAGCAATTGCTACTAAAGTTCGATTATTATGGTATTCGTATTGTATATATTGACCGTGGGAAGTTAGTTAATGCTCCAAACCCATAACCCTTTAGATAAAAGCGAATAACTAGACCAGAATTATTGTGAGGAAAAGGGGTAAGGGATGAAGTACTTCAAGTATGGACAGCAGGTCACTTTTCTCTACATATTGGTGTAAAAATCCGAAATCTACAAGTGGAGAGGTGATAATCCTCCAGGGAAGTGACAGCCGATAATCCTCTCAAGGGGGTGATAATCCCCCAGGGTAGTGAGAGGTGAAAATCCTCTCTAGGGGGTAATAATGTCCCAAGGTTATGAGTGGAAGTGATAATCCCCCTTGGGTACTGGAGAAGTGGAAAGACCTCTCTGATGTCTAATTCCCCGGTTTAAGTTGGCAACAAGAGTCTACGGGGCAAAGGGTGACCTGTATCGGAGCACTTCAACCCAAACCCATGTTTATTAAATTGCCAACAACTCAATACAGATATGGTCAGTAATTTAAGTTAGTATTGCGTGCTTGCTGCCCGTCAGGAAAAACCCTCATTTACCTTTGAGGGAAACCTGAACCCTCCCGAAAGTAGAGCGAGACCATTAACATGAACCTCGAGGGAGAGAGGTCAGACGAAAATATATTAATACAAGTTGTAAATATATGACGACTAAACTTTTATCAACGTAATAATCAAAATATAAGGCCCAAAGTAACGAAGTGCACAAGCATGTTGCGATGCCAGCTAAGAATCATTCCACATCAATAAACTATGCTAGGGCAAACTCTGGAAGCAAAGGATCATCAATCTTATACTTAGGTGTTACCCTGTCTAGTCTCTGAACTGGAAGGAATATACACTGCATGTTAAGAACATAGCTAATAGTTGGCTAGGGTTTATTAAAAGGAATTTTCATTCATGCCTTGAAAGAGCCAGGGAGCACGAGTATGGCAGCGTTGCCTGGGACCCCAGCATATAGGAACTACCAGATAAACTGACTCGAAAGCGTACAGAGATGTGCCGACCGATTTGTCACAACGACGTACGGCCATGAGAAAGGCTGTGTTGTGCGCACACTTCATCGCCTAATTGTGCAATCTCTTCAACACAGGAGGCGAATGGCAAGACTGGGCCTTATTTAGAAAGCTGTACATAATACAGCTGCGATCATTATTCCATCCCATGTCTAACACACCGCAACTCTGAATTTCCATCCGCCTAAATTCATCCCTGGCCAAGGACAACTAACAATTGAAACTCTCTACCACCGAACGTTTTAAACATTGATTCGACTGACAGTTTAAAGCTTACTGCAATGCTTTTTTAAAAATAATCTGGCTTATTCGCTGAATTTAAACTTTGCGTGTTTGATAGATTATTTATTTTTTTAATATTATTTATGTATTTATGTATGTATGTAGTTATATTTTTTTTATTACTTCAATATTTTTATTGCTTGCGATGTTTCCCCTTAGGAGTATTTTTTTCTCCTTACGAGCCTTGCGTAACAGGAACCTCAATATTGGCCCCTTTAGTTTTAAGCCTTAACAGGAAACTGCGATCAATTTATTAAATACTATTGAATCTTTGGTGGCTAATAGGGAGGAAAAATTCCCTTGAGAAGAAGAGAGAGACAGAGCCATCAAAAAGGGACGACATTCTCCGGTCATCGTCTAGCCGGAAGAGCTGTAGATTAGCAGTATCATCCTTAGAGAACAGAGAATAAGATGCAGACTGAGGCGAAGAGGAAGTGCTTACACCCTGTCATTCTCTTCAGGGACAGGAGATTTAAATTTCTCGACCGTGATTGAAGTGCCCTCTAAACTGCAATTTTTTTTTCACCTTCTAGGTTTTCATGAAGCGTTACTTTAGTTTCACCTGCGTCATTTACGCATCCACTTGGCACAACGCTTGTGCTGTTAGATAGGGTGATGCGCACGTACATATCTTCCTTGGAAATAATCAGTCTTACGTACTTCATTTCTTAAATTTCTTTCATTTTCGTCATCAATATTAACTGCTGTCTGTGCAGTTTGACTACTTTCATTTTATTACCATTATTACTTTATCATTTTTTAAAAAATTAAAGCAAATTTTCTTTTGAAATTTTTTAATACCTTGTATTTACTTTGCTTTGTCCATTATTTAGAGTTTCAAAATTATCTTTATCTTTACCAATAGCATTATCTTCACTTTGGTTTCTTTAATTGCTTCTATTAACATTATTGATGTCATTGTTTTCATTGTCAATTAATGTTTATTTTGGTTTGTTTGGATGAAATCTGTGCTGAACAATTAGTTTCAGAGAGGAGTTTGCATTTTTCGGGAAGGCCAAGATGGCCGACCGGAAAGCTCGAGGCCTAACTTTCAACACTCATAATATGACCCCGAGAGAATTATAGAAAGCCATCGATGGGGGAATTGAGTCAAATGTGACCGTTTTTTAAGATCTGGGAAATGGCGAGTTCTTAATTGAGGTTGCAAATCAACAGGATAAGGAGCCACTGATAAAAGAAGGCTTCGACTTCCATGTGTCTTGTTATCAACCTCAAGACAAGTTTACTGTTGTCAGCATTTCTATTTTGCGTTCTTATATCGAGGACGATGAATTTAAAAAGATGCTAAGTCAGTATGGTGAAATAAAGAGAGAAGTAATTCGTTTGAAAGATAAAGCTGATCTTGCTTTTGCGGGTTTAGAAAATGGAAATCGTTTAGTCAAGGTGCTTTGGAAAAGAAAACGATCCCGTACTCGTTACGAATCGGCGATGATTGGTGCCGCATAATTCATAAAGATCAACATTCGTTTGCAGCGAGTGCAATGAACTTGGCCTTACAAGGCAAAGTTGCCCTGAAGTGATTTGTCGTGTTTGCAAGAATAGAGGTCACATCTCCTATACAAGAGGGATAGTTAGCCACAAAACTCACCCTTGCTTTATCCTACCACTTTTGCAGGAAACGGAAATGACTTTTCCTCTGACGCCACTGATGGACGCATGAGGAGTCTTGTGGGTTATGCGTCCTCCTTTTTTTCTTTTTTGGGCTCAGGCGACTTGCCAAGGAAAACTTGATCGGCTTTACAAAAGGCCGCCCAATAAAAATTCGCTTCACGGCCTCGGTAAATAACCACCACGAGCCACCTCCACTTCGGTGAATAATTGTTATATATTAATGATAGTTTTTATGTCCAGTTATCAAAGAGCGTTCGACTTGAAGCACTGTTCTTCTTTTTTAACACCCTCTCCTAATAAGAACAGCAACTGGTTTTTTTTACCTACTTTCAAAGTTTTAAAGAACGAAATAATATTACGGGTGATTATATTTCTGACTGGTAGTTTATCTTTTATTAAGAGTTATTTTTTAAGTAGCGTAACTCCGGCCCCTTTTCCTCGCCATTTTCTTTTTAATTCAGCTGGGATAAAGTCGTCTCATCTAGAGAAAAAAATAGCGATATTAGCTTACCCAAAAAAGCCGAACGGCAAAGAAAGCAAAAAGAAACGGCAAAAACGAATTAAACAGCTTTTAAAATCACTAAAAGGTGTGAAAAATACAGATCAGTAGCACGCCGGAGCAGCAACACAGTGACTAGTTTGGAAAAAAGGATAACAAAAACTCTAAAGGCAGAAACATTTTTGGTTAAAACGAAAGGATGACAGACTCAAAAGTAGTCTACTAGGGTCAAAGATAAGCCTCGTTGGTGGATTCCCTTTGGATTCCCTGGCAAAAAGTGGATTCCCTTAATTAATAGGCAGATGGGTCTAGTCTATGACGTCACCCATTGTTATAACCTAGAGAAAAAAGTGCCTTCCTCCATACTAATTAACTGCCTAGTCACTGCCTTCCTCCATACTAATTAAGTGCCTAGTCAGTGTCTTCCTGCATACTAATTCGGTATAGGTTTACTAATGAGCGTCACTCTACTTCAATAGGAACAATAGGCTTGCCTAGACTTGCCCGGGCTCTTTAACCCTGATTGTAGAATCTATTCTATCTTCCAAATAAAAGAGCGCTTTCTGTTCAGCATATTACTCTTGCAATTGCCTTGCTAAGGAAACAAGTTCGCTTGCCTAACTAAAAATTCGGTTATAAACAAAACTCAGACGCCAAAAATGAAGCTCAAACTCTTTATTTCAATATATTGCAAACAGTGCTCTCTCTATAAAATTACTTTATCATGATGTCTTGTTACACGCTCTGTTAACCAGTAGTAATTTGCATCTGACTCATGCCTCTTTTGTGTTCTCGCAAATTAAGCAATCATGCTTAAGTCCTCTAACAAAAAGATAAGGTACCGTTTCATACACAATTTTTAGGAGGTCTATTGAAAAATAAAATATTCCACGGCAAAGTGCATCGACAACCCTTTAATTAATTTGTTATTGGTCTATCGAGCATTCGTTTGGTTCTTTTCTAGGAAAGATCTTACGCTGAGATCCTCCTTGTGTAAATAAATCCATTTCGATTTTCCATTGCAATAGTGTCTTATTTTCACAGGCCAGTAATTTCCATACGAGTACGATGGAAGATACGGATCATAAAGATGTCTGGCAATGCGGTACATTTCCGTGATCCCAAAGTCTTTTGGTAGGGTTTGGCATAGGGGCGCTCCTTGCATATAATTTTGTACAACGGGATAGGCTGCTTCAGACCAGACTGTATCAAAAGGAAATGGCCGTGTCCTTTTTACAATTGGCAGAGAAGATTTGACTACAGGAGGCGATTTTACTGCTGATCTAGCTTCGCAGGCAATGTTTTCCTTGTAACTGGTCGTTTTGACGGTTTCGACCAATTTTGCAGAGCTGTTAATAGTCGGATATCGACGAGAAGAGCCGAAAATGTTACTCAATACTTGCATATCACTCGGCGTGTCTGGGCGATTGTCAACGAAGATATAACCAAACGCTCTTTCCGTTTCTTGAAAATAAGCTGACATGAATCGCGGGCGATTTTTGTCAAACATTCGTTCTGCAATGATACCGAGTTGTTTTCGATCGCTAGGACTTCGGAAAAGAGCCATGTACTGAGCATTCCGGCTGATGTCCGTGTTAAATTTTCCCTTTGGAAACATATTTTGTAGCAGCAGTATCACACTAGCATTTCTATGCCGGCCTTGGGTAAACAGA